ATGCGTCGAACAGGGGATTCTTCGGCAGCCCAGAACTGAGCAGCAGCTCGGGCCTAAGGTATACACCTTCAGTCGCAGACAGCCTCCAGGAGTGAAGTAGCGAAGGAGATTATAGTGGAGTATTGATTTGTTGTCGTCTAGTTAAAGCCAGAAAGATGTCATGTGACTTTGAGACCGTAACTTTGAAGAGTTCCCGGGGCAGTCGGCCCCGGGAAATAGGCCTTTTAAGAATTTAGCTAGCTCTGTACGAGCTCCAAAAAGCTAACTTGGCAACTGTTGCCGTTGAAGTGATGAAGAACTATTTGAGCGAGGCTATTTATACCTGAAGACGAACTCAAATTTAGAAGTAAATGATTTCAAATTAGAACCCTAAAAATTCAAAAACTACAGAGTTTCAATGCCTAAAACTGACAAACAATGAGTCAATTTTCATGAAGAGTATCAAATATAACCATAGCAACGAAGAAAAACTTTGATGTCAATTCTGTCAAAACAATTAAAATTAGCGATAATTTGTGTTATAATACATAAATAAGTGTTTTAATATGATTAGAATTGGTAAAATGTATAAAGAAAAACTATGAAAAGTACAGGTAAGGGTTCACATTAGTATAAGTAGACAAAAACATAGGATGAAAGTTCGTAAAGGTTTGGATAAGTTTATATTACAGAATTTTAATGGTTACAGATATAAAATTGAAGGTCCATTGTTATAGAATGAAGAAAGTAAAGAATATAAATGGAAAACACTAAAAAGTTTATCGATATGAATGCAAATTAGTGATATGAATCTAAGGAATGAAAATGATACGAAAGGTTAGTTACGACATTGTGCCGAAGGCGACTGTAAGTATAATTCAGCTTCGTGTGAACATGGCTATCATCTAGGGTTATACATCATTGGCAAGCAAACTAACGGAGTGCTGGCTGATAGAACCAACAAGAACAAGAGTGATAAGATTGATCTGATTAAAAAGTCAAGTCAAGCTAAAAAAGGGAGTGGCGTCAAATCTAATAAACCTGAAATTTTATCAAACATTCTGATTAAACCTGGCAGTAGCTATTCTGCTAATCTTGCTCATCACTTCTATGAAACCAATCAGAGCCTGTCCCATACTTTAACATCAGATATTGAATTGCATGAAAATGACAGCTTTTAGACGCGTGTGACAGTAATGAATGATGTATTCTCCAACATTTTAAATTCCAAAGATGCAATTCCAAAAGCAGTGACGTAGAATATAACATTTTTGATGTGAAGCGTCGCAACGTATAAACCGGATCATTGGCGTATATATAAGTATATACCGAACAAGATTTTTCACATTTGCCAGGCGCAAATAATATTATTAAACCTACCTACTATTTTTAATTACTGTCAACATAATAATTTAACGCTTCCAGGGTTCATTTTTGGTTTTTAATAAATGGGATATAATCTCGATATAAAAATGTTTTACTGAAAAATTTGCCAGTAATTTCTCATACACATTATGCTCAAAGTTATCTAAGGCAATAAAACATTTATAGAAGAAAAATAATCTACAGAAAATAAATTATTTGATATATTTGATTTCGGTGCTAAGAACATTGATTTCGGTGGACACCATATTTTTTTAAATGAATTCCTTCTTATATATTTAGTCTATGTGGTTCCCTTTACTACTAAAATGTTTTAAATTAAATATTGATTTGATACATAATATAAATAATGCCGAAACTATAAAACAAAATATTGCCACCGAAGTCAACTAAATAATGAGTCTCCTAAGAATGACCCAAATACAAAAAACTAAAATACTTATGTAAGGAGCTCCAAACAATAAACATGTGTTTTGCTCGTTTACCGTTACGGAACCCTTCGTGAGCGAGCCCGACTTGCACTTGGAAGCTTTTTTGTTTTTTTAGTCTATGTTTCAGGGTAGTTAACAGGGTTAGGCACTGTAATTTGTTCAATATTTTAAATAACATCATTAATGTGTTTTGAATCACCATTTTTCAAAAATATATATACCTAAGCTTATTTTTGCGTGTAGGTAAACTATTAACTAAATAAGGAATAAACTATTACAATTGGTTTTAGTCTTTTTTTATATTTTTATCAGATACTTTTACGGCTAATCCGACAATCCGAAGTCAAAGTCCAAAAAAATTTCTTTATTCAAATTGATAGCATTAATAGACACAAATTAAAATAAAAAAGTGAGCCATCGGTCTCTAAGAAAATCTAGGACATAGTTATTCGTCATTCACAAATGCTTGTAATGGCCGCGTTAGACTGATATAAATGATTTTTAAATCGAATTGGTATTGTATTTGATTAATTTCGCATTGACAATGCTGTACTGAAACATATTCTTAATACAAAATGCTTAAAAAATCCACTTGAAAGATTCGTCAGTCCTGTTAGGTTCGGGGTAGCTCAGTGGTTAGAGCAGTCGCCCGGATTGCGAAAGGTCGTAGGTTCGATTCCCATCTCAGGGTGCCAGGGACCAAGTGGATTTTTTAAGCATTTTGTATAAGGAATTGGTATTGTGTTCCATCCCCACTGTACAACGGAATGTTTACGGTGGATATCCGAAGACTCTCTCCGTTTATTACAAACAGTATACTAACATTAATAACAGATTTCAATAATTATCCAAAGAAAAAAAGTCAATACTTATCAATTTGACATTTTTTCCAGTGATTGTCTATTTGATTTAGGCGGCTAATGGTTTAAACCGATTACTAACTGAATCTTCGATTTATAATAACACAAGATGAAGAGAAGGATATAATGTTCAGTGAGATAGTCCCTTTACAAGAGTCCCAGCATGACCTCTTCGAGTGATCTTGGTCCGGCAGAATAGAAGAAGAAGCGGAGAATGCGTAATTTCCTTTCGACATTTTATAATTTCTTTTAGTTGTTTACACCTCCAGGTGTAGTCCTGTCTGTACTAAATTCTTATTCAAAGTTTCCTTTTCTTAAATAAATTGGCAACTTATTCGGACCTTATAATATATTAAGGTTGCATACAATACTTAACTATATTGTATTATAATGAGTAACACATTACATAACTGACTGATGAACTAGCGATGCACGTGCGACGTGTTGCTGACAAAAGGAATTAAAATACATTATTATACAAAGCACTGGTGGCTACATCTAAAGAGCTATTTTTTGGAGAAAAAACTCTTAAATTTGCAAACCAAAATAGTCTGGTGTCCAACGCATAATTTTTACCAATAACAAATTTGGGGCTTGAAAACTAAAAAAAACTTTACACAAAAAGATCTTCAACTTTGTACTGAGATATATTTTCGGTGTTAACATTAAAATTCGTGATTTAAAAACGCTGAAGAAACTTGAATAAGAAAGTCTAACTGTGCTACATTCTGTAATAATAAAAATAAAAAGAAATCGTCCAGAGCTTTCGGGCTTGGTGCTTCACCTACCCGCCCTGACTGGAGGCCAGGAAACTGGATATTATCTCTAGATGCGCCAATGATTACACCTACAGACTACGACCATTATAAATAATAACCACCGACCATTGACTTTGACCAATATGAACCACTTACAGCTTAGCAGCTCTCTTGCTGCATTTTTTTCACCTCTTTCTTACTTTATAATGACTCTTAACTTCATTTCAACTTTTGCGTTAACACCGTCTTTTATTCTTTCTCTCTGTGTGTCAAATATCTGCTTCGAGCTTGGGTGACACTAGAACTACCCATGTGCAGTATAAAAAAATGCCGTATTTAGTCGGCATTTTTTTGTACTGCTCATGAGTAGATATATAAAATAACCGGCCAAGTGCGAGTTGGGCTCGTGCACGAATCGTTCAGTAGGTACTATTATATTAAAAAACGCAAAAGAATATTATTTTGTTGTAGAAAACCTCTTATCTTTTTAGTTTTTTGTTATAGCGGCAACAGAAATACCTCATCTGTGAAAATCTCAACTTTCTATCTATCACAGTTCATGATATAGAACCTGATGACATACAGAAAGACAGACACTGACAACGGAAATTTAGTAATAGGGTCCTTTTTTACTCTTGGGTACGGAACTTTAAAAAGAACTAAATATGTATATACAAATTAAGAGTCTTTTTGTATCAGATCTGTTATGACGACACTAAATTTGAATGTGCATATCATATTTACGTCCATTATGCAGGATTATTTGCATACCTAATGCTCAATGTATATATGCAAATACTTAATATAACAAGAAAAGCAGCCAACTCGTCGATTTGTTCAAATACATTGTTTTATTCTGTTCAAATACAATACTTATGGGAATTACCTACTTGTTTACTACAATTTTTATATTTAAATTATTTTGTAAATTTCTCCTCTTCTCGTCTCTTTTGTAGGTTTTGTAGTCTACTAGACGAAGATTATGAAGTTTAAAACATAGGATTATCTAACAATACTTATAGGCAAGGCCGCATTAACCCTGCTAAAGGCCCTTGACAATACACTTACTCTGACTGACCAAACCCCTTCCGGTTTCAACCACAGGTTTCGACGAATGACATTTGTGTGTGACGTAATTTAAGTCTACTATAAGTTCAAATAAAATAAAAGAGATATAAAACATTTATGTATCGAATATAGTTTTTTTTTATTTGGGTATGCGAAGCCCCTCGTGGATGCGGAATCCTTAAGCAGTTGCGTACTCTGCCTTAAGGGTAATACGATAGGAGCCGTTCACATTATTTTCTGAAAGAATGTTGTACTTTAATATAAAATCTCAATATAACACGAAAACTCGTATATATTTTCTGATTATTAAGATAAAGCTACAAATTGTGCCCGATGCATGTACAGTCAACAGCAAGTTAGGTTATAACAAAAATCTGTTTCTCCACTTGATTTTAAACCTTGAAGGTAAACTTACAAGTCAACTGGAGATATTTGACATATTGTGGTAACTTTATATGCAGCCGTATGTACCCTTAATGTACCCCATTGTACGTTTAACAAATACTTTTGTTATGTTTCAGACACTCACCTTCTGGGGCTATTCGTCCGAGGTTGCCGAATGGACTTGGAACGAGCGAGAAACAAGTTGGAGTCATTCTTCCTCTCTCGGTCTCGCTTCAGAGACCTCTACGACAACATCTCTCTCAAAGATCCACCTCTTAGTGAAGTTTGCAAATATATGTACGTACTTTATATAATACCACAGAACATAGAAAAGAGGAATAATAGTTTACGTATCTAATATAAATGTAACAATAGAATTTGAAGATTCAGCCACACGCCTGTTTGTGAGCGCAAACATGAAAAGTAGAGTTGATTGTTTGAAAGTTCCAAGCAAAATTGTTTTTTTGGAAGGACGTTTTACATTCTTTTGATATGAAGTTCTTGCGTGAACATAATTATCAAACACAATCAGCTCTGTTCTTTTCTACTTCCTGGGATAAACTTAAGATGTGTTTATTTATTAGTTTTCTTTTTTTTTTTTTTAATTATTAACTTATAATTTTAGAAAGTGTATATGTCGCAGCCAACTAGTTAAAACGGCAATTCAATTATTCACTTAGTTTTCTAGATGAATCATTATGAATTTTTAGGACCGTTCAACAAGACGGCTAATTTAAAATCTGCCAAAACATTAATTTAGTTTTGTTATCTGTTAAAAAAATAACTACGAAATTTAAAACGCTTAAGGCTGATTATAACACTTGGCTGCGACATATACATAATAACACAAGACGTTATTAACGTATAAGACTAATATTATCATGTGTAATTTTGTATTTCATAAAGAGAAAAACTGATCCTGTAGTATGAAAATGTGATGATAACTCATACATACATGATTACGTAACCGACAATCTTTCCAACAGGGATATAGCGCCTCTACCAAAAGTAACGGACGAAGGATATCGTGTGACCGTGTTCAGGCTGCAAGAAAACTGTTTTGAAAGCTCGGTCGAAATTTTACACATGGTGCAAGCTATTTTGCTCGTGAGCGACATCAGAATGCATGACGAGACTCTCATAGCCGGCGATGTGTTCATTTGGGAGGTGAGAGAGAACAGACTCTTTTAAAGGGCAATATTTAGAGGATGTCTTAATTGACTTACGATAATTGAAGCAAATAACACGACATTGCCCTGCTATGAAAGCAAGCGATGCCATTTCGTCGTACGATAAATAAGTATCTCACGACGGACGTACCGCCCATCGTAGTTATCGTCACGCTAAGCGCTCCGCGTGACCATTTAAGACATAAGAGATTAAGCAAATCTTGTGCTTACGCGCTGACTTATGCGCCGCATAAATACTCTAAACAGATTTATGTGTCCGACGAAATCGCATTGTTTTATTAAGCCATCATGACCAACGATAAGCCTTTAGTGGCGGCACAGAATGACTGATATCGAAGGATTCACAAAGTAATCACTATAAAAGTATACATTTTAGGACACATGTGAACGTTAATTTGACAGGAAATATTTTGGAAAATAAACTTAAATAAAATCTTATTTTGTTTAGTCACAGTAAATGTTTTATACATGTAGTTTCAATAAAATAACCTAAGTATTTGCATACTGCAATGATTGCATAAATCTTAAAATAAATATTTGCAATTTAGCTTTATCTACTATGCTTACATCGACCCTATTAATATCTCTACCATTATGAAGTGGATGAGCTCCGTTTATACTTTAGACTTTGAAGGGAAATTACTTGGAAATGACAAACACATTGTAGTTAACGGAAGACATATAAAATATGTGTTTTTGTTAAACAACAGGGGCCTAGCTACCGAAGCTGTATCAATGATACGGGGCCCCGGGCTACAGGGGCCCGTAACATGTGTAAGAAAAAAAATTTTATGCGCCATTTGGGCCCCTAACAAATTTTTATACACCAGATAAAAACTAAAATTGATTATAATACGTACATTGGTCATATTTACGTTGTCACAAAGGGGCTGAGGAGTATCAAAAACTGAAGGTAGTTTTGCGATTTACTTCGGTTACACAATCGAGCACGATTACTCATGTTGTCGTACCTAATATTTAAATTTAATTTATTAAGTTACACTATTTTTCTAATACAGATATCAAATCTAAAGCCATCACTAGTAGCCAAATTGTTAGCTTCAGCGAACACGGTCCGTCGTAGCGTGTACTTAGCACAAGCAGCGTATCCGCAACGGATGAAGCGTATCCACGTGGTGGGTGCCCGTCCCGTCGTCACCTCCGTTATACAGCTGATGCGCTCCTGTGTCAACGAGAAAATAAAGCGGCGGGTGAGTTTTATACTAATACCATTATCTACATAATCACTTCCGACGTCCTTTGTACAAAGATTGTATGGACAAAAGCTACTTGTACAGCAGTTATGTTGTCAAGTGTTGAGCGTGTTAAGAATTTGTATGAAGAATTTTAGTTCTAAGTAGTTACTGCTAGGGGCGCTGTTTCGGATTTCATATTAAAATTTTAACGGGCTCAACAAGATCTTGTAAGCGGTGCGACAATTTTAGATAGATCATGAAATAAATAAAAATTAAAAAAAGTAGAACCGATTTGAAACTTTAAAAAATTGATAAATAATATCTTATCTCAAAAGCGACTTATTCAAGAAAATTCTATTGAAGTCGCACGGAGGTTTTCTGTAGGTTATTAATTAAATAATCGGAGCCCGATATTTATAATTAATAATAGTTAATAATATTTAATAGTTACACTAAAAATACTAAATATCTATGTAACTGTAAATATTCAACACGGTGAAATTCTTAGAATAGGAGATTTCGTTTATTCGCTCGATATACTTTTTTCCAATAATTTATATTCATATTTTAAAGAGAAAAGATTTGATTGCTTGTTTAATTGCATTGGATAGGCCCCGAGACTATTGGTGGATTTTTAAAACTTTCTCATCTACAGGAAGCTATAATGTATGCAGGCAAAGTCACAGGGAAATAGCTAGTTTGAAATTGGTTCACAGTTCAAGAACAAATCGATGAACAAACCTACCTATAAATATAATATAAATATTATATTTTGCTATAAATATTTTGCTCATTGGTATCTACTATCTATGACTTTCATATAGATTTTGAATGAATTATAAATATAATGTAGCGGCATAATGTATTTTTACACCGTGGTAGCGCAACCGATCAGGGGGCCAATTCTACTAAATAAATTTTGCTTAAATCGAATCGAAAACGGAACGAAACCGAACGAAACTACAACTTTTAGTGGTTTTCCTATTCTACTCGGTGTCAAAATGGCGTCAAACGCTACAGTTCCGGTTCTATTTTAGTTTAGCTAACTATCGATCAACAGAAACTGTAAACGGTATTCTACTCGCTCAATCGAACATAGAACTATACAGATGTAGTTATGCAAACCGGAACCAACCCACAAATCTGTCAAAATCGAATTATGTGCAGAGAAGCCTAAAAGTGTTGCAATTAAACTCAAATGTTGTAAATTCACAAAATTTCTTGATAAATAAATAAAATAAAATATATTCTACAAACAATTATTACTAAAAACAAGAAACCCATTTTTCTCAAAACTGACATCATGTGGCTGGTTTGCATAACTACGTCCATATACTTGAGTCGATCGTCGGCCCGTCGGCCCTTATTCCACTAAAATTTTGACACTTCGTTGGATCGAAACGCTACTGAAACGTTACTAAATCCGAACGTTTCATCTGTCAAAATTAACGATTTCTAAAAAGTTGCAAATTTCTACTTTTTGACGATCGATAGTTAGCGTTTAATGATAGATGTGAAACAATTTATATTATTTAAAATTTTAAGAGGTGCAATTAGGTACCCCCAATTGCTGAGTGAAATAAAATACCTTGATCCATCTTCAGAATTGATAATTAAAAACATTTTGCCCTACAAAAGTAACTTCGGCAAACATAGGTATTTGTAGTGTTTGTATAGAAGAAGTTTTATCTCGGTACATTGGAGAGCTGCGAAACGTGTTCATCGGTACCTGAAGGCTATAAAAAATAGGAAACTGACCTATAACAATAGTGGTGATCTAATCGGATTTGCTGATGCCGATCATGGTGGTAATCTGGTGGACAGACGATCCTATACAGGATATGTTTTCCATATGTGTGGTTCGGCAGTGTCATGGGAATCACGTAAACAGAGAACCGTTGCAACATCAACAACAGAAGCTGAGTACATGGCTCTAAGTGAAGCCAACACGCATGAAAACAACACGCATCATGCCCGCACAAAACATATTGAAATTAGACATCATTTTGTTTGTGAGTCTATATCCACTAAACAAGTCAACGTGTCATTCATACCATCAGCTCACCAAACAGCAGACATTCTCACAAAGCCACTGCCTAAGCTGAGACACTATATGTGCCTAACTAATTTAGGATTAGTTTAGTGTTATTTGTTTTGTGTTATTAGGTTAATTAGGTTAGGGCATCATGTTAAGGTACTTTTGATATTATAGTGTTTTTGTACATACAGTGTGTTTATATAAAGGGTGTACATAAGTGTCCTGATTACGGGGAGGTATAGATAAAACCTTTTTCTATATTAATCAGACACTGGCATCTTTTCGTATACCTTTTTGAATTAGTATTTTATACACTGTTTATTGTTTTTATGTCACTCTCTTCTTTACTCTCATCTGACTTTTATGTATTTACAACATGAAATATATTAAATACTCCAATCCACTGTGACTTTTAATTCCTACATTTTAAGAGTTTGTGAGTGAGTTATCAATAGACTGTAAAGAACATAATAAGTTGTGTAAATCCATTTATATGTTTGCTTTATCATTAATTATTTATAAAAATACCTTATATTAAGGTACCAAAAAATTTTAATCTTTAACTGTCTAGCACTTCAAGCATATAAAATTTTCTATCCAATATTATTTATTTCACAAAGATACAAGGATACTTTCAATGAGCACCCTGACGTCTGAAGTAAATATACAAAATCTGGGTATCAAACACCAGATTCCTCATCTACCTCATGAGAACATAGCAATCCATGTGATATAAATTATGTAAAATGATTAGAAAAAAAATGAAATCGAAAACTATGGAGCTAGATAAACAAGTGTGATAGTGCATGCATATGTTTAATAAACTTTTTATGTACACCATTTCATCTATTTGTTATAGATAGTTCTGTAATTTTGTGGTTGCTTATTGATATGTAAAAATGTTGGCAGACTTTAAAAATAAAATAAATTATATCTTGATTATTAATCTTAAATTATTATTTTTTATTAAAAACTTACATTTTATAGATAAATTAATAGGTTTTCATTCCTCTATGAATTTGAAATGTTGAATTCATATTATGTAGATTCTTAACATAAATAAGGTCCACCTAGTTGAGGCATGTAATGTAAATTAAAATTGAAAAATTATATTTCTGTTAAAACTTTACATAATTATAAACAATCATTGTAAATAGGAACATTGTAAAAATCATTATTAGATTGTAGGGGCTTTTGGCTTTAAGTAAACTTATCTATGATTATAAAAACATGAATTTTTGAATATTTTGTATTGAAAAAAGTAAACTATTGTAGTATTTTTACAGGAAAACTTAAGTGTGTATTTTCAAGCATGTGTGAAATTCCAATAAAAATGGCACTGAAAAAGTCCTTGTTTACAAATTAATTAATTTATCATTATTTTTTCTGATCACTTTTGCATTTGCAATACTATATCGATATTTATCTTAAAGGAAAATAATTAAAAAACCCACTTCAAGCAATTAGTGCTTGAGGTGGGATTTAAACCCATAAACACTCGCAGTCTGGGCGTCTGCTAAAACCAATTTAACTACCAGATAATCAGCAGGTTTTGTGAATTTAAGAATTACTTGCATTACTAGTGAGCATATGCTCATTTATGTTTAGGAAGTTCACCAAATCTATATTAATAATACCATTATAGAGAATAGAATAGAAAATTCTTTATTGTTAACATTACACAAGTTATATAGGTATACAAATTTAAAACAGTTTAACAAAATAATATAACAATTGGCGGCCTTATCGCTTAAAGTGATTTCTTCCAGGCAATCATGGGATGGAGAGAGAGAGATAACAATTTATGAAGACAGGGGTGTAAATTTTATCAATAACATTAAAAAGAAAATATGATCAAACTAGTGGACGCCCGCGACTTCGTCCGCGTGGAAGTCGGTATCCCGTGGGAGTGAGAAGTTTTCCCAGTAAAAAGTACCCTATGTGTTATTCTGATGTATAACCTATATTGCTGTAAAGTTTTATCCAAATCCGTCCAGTAGTTTTTTCGTGAAAGAGTAACAAACATCCATACATCCATACTTACAAACTTTCGCCTTTATAATATTAATAGGATAGGATAATAATCTTAATTATGAATATTTTTTTCTGACATAATTATTACTCACTTATTACATATTATAATCTCCAAATAAAAAATTTGGAGATTATAAAATTATAAAGGATTATTACATCATATCATCATCATGTTTAAAGGATTGTTAAACAGGTAAATATACTGTTTATAAGATTTTATTCTGAATTATTTTTAGTTTAAAAAAATTACATAAAATTGAGCTTAGCCGCAGCTCAGTTTTATGTAACATTTAAAATAACATGAGGCTTTCTGTAACCATATATTAAGTTGCGTGCAAGATAAATGTTCAGCCTAATTAGTATTACCTACATGAAAAATACATATTCTACTGTTTTTGACACAAAGTTAAAACCAACCACCAATTTTAACCCAAAGAACTGTCATACACTATGATGGGTTACAATTTAGAACAAAAAAAAAATAAGCCTGTGAATCAGGAGCTCTTGTTCAATTTAGCAGGAATTTATATGTGTAAGTTCTTTTATATCAGTTGAAACTTATACTTAATTTGCTCATAGTCAGCATGGATGACAGCTGCGAGCAGATCTATGCAACTACAAGAATTTAATTTGTATACAACTTAATGTGAAAGATATGTCAAATCATTAATAATTTTCTCTGATCTTACTTATAATATCTAGTCAATAATGACATTTCTAATGGGTTTCTATAACAAACATTGTTTTAAATTTAATCTTGTATAGATTTTCCACAGTATATATTATGTTGCCTTGCTTGATTCGGTGTACAGATGTAGGTGTAGCCAGATTTCGAAAGATATTGGATTCATTTCATCATAAATAATTCTCTCTTAAATGTCTACTTTGAGTCGACTATCGCTTATCTTCTTCACTATGTTATTGATACGTATGAATATTTATT